TGGATATGGTTTGTTTTTCATTCTTCCAAAGACTCTTGTTTCTGTTTGATATCAAACACGGGTTTCCCAATAAGCAACACAAGCATGGGTGTTCTTGTGCTCTTGTGCTTACTTACTAATCTGTAGTGAACAATTCATATGTGTTTCAGCACTGAATATGAAATTGTTCACTACAGGTTAATAAGTAAGCACAGATAAGCCTGTGCTTATCTTGTTTACTGGATAATCCGTCCCTGTCAGGGACTGTAAATTTGAAAAGAGGATTTTATTCTGTACAAAGTTGCTGTGGCTTGAAAGAGAGACAGATGCCAGCCACACCTACAAGCAGAATCTTTACTGTGGTGAAAGAAATGTGAAATTATTCATTACAGATTGATCTTGTTGTTGTTGTTGTTATGTGCTGTTGAGTTGGACACAACATATAGCGACTCCTCTTTGGGTTGCCAAGGTGGTATCACTATGGAAGTAGATTGCCCAACCTTCCTTCCAAGGAGTGGTGGGTGGGTTTGAACTGCCAGCCTTCTGGTTAGCAGTCAAGTGCCTTAGGCACTATGCTAGCATAAGTAAGCACAAATAAGCCTGTATTTACTTTGCTTATTGAGTAATTTGACACTGGATGATCTTTAGAGAGATTAAGAGATTAACATTTATTTGTCAAATTGTTTGAATATACCTATGAATTCTGTGTCTGTTCTATTCCCACCACAGCCCTGATTTGATGGGATTAGTTAGCTTCTGTTTTGATGAAATGTTTATTGTCAGGATTATTTTTGGTTGAAGAATCTACTGAATCAATCAAGAGTACCTTTCTAGAATTAGGCAGCTGTCTTAGTTTTCTAGTGCTGCTACTATAGAAATGCCACAAGTGGATGGCTTTAAAATAAAAATTTATTCTCTCACAGTTCAGGAGGCTAGAAGTCCAGATTCAGAGTACTGGCTCTAGGGGACAGCTTTCTTTCTCTGTTGAAAAGAAAAAAAAAAAAAAGGGGAAAGTCCTGGTCTCCTTTCAATCTGTGGGCCAGGCATTCTGTGGAGATGTCCAGGTGCCTTGGCATGACTTTTCCCCTGGGTCTAGGTAGCTCCTCAGCACCGAGATCTGGAGTCCAAAGGATACACTCCACTCCTGGTTCTTTTCTCTTGGTGGTAGTCAGACCCTTCCTTCTCTACTTGATTCCGTTTATCTCTTGTAACATAAAAGGCAGTGCCAGACACCCCCCAGGGAAACTCTTCTTGCAATGGATCAGGGCTATGACCTGAGTAAGAATGTTGCATCCCTAAATAGACTATCAAGCATAACTCCAAATGCACAAACAGCATAAGATGAACTAGATGAATGAGACTTTCTAAAAAGTAAATTTTTATGTGCTTCAAAAGACTTTTTCAAAACAGTAAAAAGAGAACCTACAGAGTAGGAGAAAATACTTGGCAATGACATATCTGACAAGGAACTTATCGCTAAAATTTATAGAAAACTCCAGCATCTCAACAACAAAAAGATACATAATCCAATTGAAAATGAGCAGAAGACATGAATAGACAATTCACCAAAGAGAATATTCAAGCAGCCAAGAAACATGACAAAATGCTCACGATCGTTAGAGAGATGCAAGTCAAAACAACAATAAGAGATCATCTTGCCCCAGCACTGGTAGCAAAATTCAACAAGACAGAAAATAACAAATGCTGATGAGGATGTGGAGATATTGGGACTCTCATACACTGCTGGTGGGACTGTCAAATGATAAAATGACTGAGGAAAGCAAGATGCAGATTCCTTAAAAAGTTGAAATTAGAAATACCATTTGAGCCAACCATTCCATTACCAGGTATATATCCTAAAGAAGTGAGAGCCATGACAAGAATAAATATATGCACACCCATGTTCACTGCAGCATTATTTACAATAGCCAAAAGATGGAAACAACCTAGGTGCCCATCAACAGAAGAATGGATAACCAAAGTATGGTACATACACGCAATGAAGTACTCTGCAGCACTAAAGAATAATGTAGAATCTGCAAAACACCACATAACATGGATGAACTTGGAGGAAATTATGCTCAGTGAAATAAGTCAGTTACAGAAGGACAAATATTGTATTAGTTCATTATTGTGAAAAGTCAAGGAAAGGTTTAAATGTGGAAAGAAATTTTGTTTCTGTTGTTGGTTACCAGGGAGGGGGTGGGAAGGGAGGGGAGAGAACACTACAAATATAAATAAAATGAAATAAAATAGTTAAATTGAATTAAAATAACAACAACTAAAAAAAAGTGTTGCATTCCACCCTAATCCCCTTACAACAGATTGACTGATCACATCAGAACATCATGGTGGATGATTGCTTCACTACATAACTGCTAAATTGTATCATTACATAACTGCCAAACTACTGAAAGTCATGGCCTAGACAAGTTGAGATGTGTTTTGGGGGGCACATTTTAATCCATGACAGCAAGCTAATCTGGGAATTAAAAGCCTACTTTTTATAAACACCAATTATTGGTCTAACAAAACATATACTATATGCCAATGTTTTTTATTGTTTTGATTAAATAACAAATAAGTACATCTCTGTTTCCACATCTCCTTAAAAATAAAAAGGATCATAGCTACAGATAGACAGGTCTCCTATATTCCTGGGCTTAATGGAAGGATAGCCTGTTTCCAAGTTGTAGCAACACATACTGGAAAAGGGAAAAGAAGTAGAAGGCTTGAGTATTTATCATTTTCTTAGAGTATCACAGGAGTCTCTGGGTACTGCATATAGTGTTGGTGTGTTTAGCACCTAGCCTAAAGGTTGGAGATTTAAGTCAAACCAGAAGTTCCTTAGAAGAAAGTCCAGGTGAATCACTTCCGAAAAGTCAGCCATTGAAATCTCTATGGATCACAGTTCTGCTCTGATGCACTTAACGTCACTATGAGTTGGAGTTGGCTTAACAGCAACTGAATGCTAAGTAGGTAGATAGTATCACAGTGATAACACTGTTCCACATGTTTTACAGCTATTAATTTAGTCATATTGACTTCAGGATGAAGGAAACTTTATTATACCCGTTTGCCATAGGAGGAAATTAATTCATAAAGAATAATTATACCCAAAGTTTACTCCAAAGTTTGTACTTTTAGTCACTATGTTAAATCTTCTGCATATTACTGCCATATATTCTTGGGCCAGGGTGGAGAATGATTTCTGCCTTTATAGTTATTTTCATCTTTTCTCCATTAAAATCTGTAACTGTTAATAATTAGAAAACATCACTTGCACTTATTACTATGCATTGAAAGGAAACTAAAGATCCATTAGAATGCCTTAGATGTAATTCTGTTTATGGTTAGTTTAGCAGAAAATATCAGTATTGTGTTGAGGAATAAAATAATCTTAGTTTTAAATTCTCAGTCATGTCCTTTTAGTAGTATATTAATAATTTTAATTTTAAAAATGAAATTGTTGTTGTTAGGTGCTGTGGAACATCTCCAACTCATAGCGACCCTATGCACAGCAGAATGAAATAGCGTCCTGTCCCACGCCAGCTCTGCAATCTCTATACTTCATGCCATTGCCTCAGCCACTTTGACAATCCATCTCTTTGAGGGCCTTCCTCTCAACAAGTTGCCTTTTAATGTTACATGCAAATAATTAAATCTAATATATATATATATATATATATATACACACACATATTTAAGAGCTTGTTTTACATTCAACGTTATGTGTACATTTAGTTTTATTCCCCATTTACCATGTCCAACCCTAACCCAGTCTCCTTCCCTCCCTACTCTGTAACCCTCCCCCTGTATCCCTCATATTTATGCACTCCTGTTTGTCTTGCCTTTCCTCAATTTGAGTGTTGGTCCTCTGGTGCTCCGTGGTCTATTGTTCTAAGGGATGTATTACCATAGAGTATGTCGTGCGTCATCTTGGGTTGAGTGTACATCTTGTTAACTATTGGCCTGAGAGCCAGTCCCTGGGAGTGTATTTTATTCCAGGTGCAGAATATATTCCAGGGCCATAGTATCGGGGAGCTTATCAGATTTCATCTGACCAGTAATTTTGGTCATTATTGAGTTTTTGGATTTTGTTTCACATTATTCCTCCCACTCTATCCAGGATCTCCAGATTTGATCCTTTCCTGAGTGGTTGGCACTGGTAGCCAGACACCATCTAGTTCTTCTAGTCTCAGGGCCATCGTGTCTTAGGAATGATTGCTTCCAAATGCCCTTTTTTTTGCATTGCTCTTCACTTCTGACTCTGGGAGACCACTAGCTGCATCTTAGATAGCCGCTTGAAAGCTTTTAAGACCTCAGTTGCTACTCATCAATGTAGGATGTAGAACAAGGCTTTTATGTATTTTGTTGTGCCAATTGAGTCTGGTACTCCAAATACTATGATCCTGAGATCTCTCTCCCATAGTGTCTGGTTGTCTGTGAGGGATTACTCTGTGTCTGTCTTCCATTGTTTCTGTAAATCTAAAATCTAAATCTCTCTAAATCTAACATTAATGAGTTGTCTCTGGGTTGTGCCAACCTTCAGGTGCTAACTGAAAGATTGGAGGTTTGAGTCCACCCAGAGACACTTCAGAAGAAAGCCCTGGCAATCTACTTCCAAAATTCAGCCATTGAAAACTCTGTGTTGTATTCTGGCACACATGTGGTCTCCATGATTTGAAATGAACTTGACAGCAATTGGTTGGTTTACTTACTATTTGGATAATTTTAATGAACAGAGATCCTTGTGAGTAGGTGAGATAACTAGGAATACATTATGGATTTTAAAGGCTTATTAAAAATAAATTCATCCTTTGTAATAATTCATTTTCATATTTATTTCCCTCTTTAGGCATCCATTATAACTAAAGAGAATATAAATAATTTGGGTCTTAAGTATTTCATAAATGACTTCATTCAGTATTACTTTTGTTATGTCTTCATTGTCAGGCTCTAAATATTTCACTTTTGGTTGTGCATTAAGTCAAGACTTTATCTTATTTCTTTGTTTTTAGCTGCTCTTCTGCTGCTGATAAGAGAGGAGCTGGAAAGTTCTCCAAGCATCTCCATTTTGTGCTAGTGTCAGTGTTTTCAGAACTCCAATTAGCTCAATGGCAAAGCCAGGGCTTTTGGTACATTATCCTGCTGATGGCTTCCCTCTGGTTCCTGAGGCTCTACTTGCATTACCTTGGCCAGTGGCTTTTCCTCGAGGCCATCTCAACACCTGTGACGAAGTGAGTGCTTTCCTCAGAAATTCTAAGAAATGTATTTTCATCTCGATATGAAAGTAAAATCTCCTCTCCTGCACATTTACAATAAGGCTAAGATGCAGGTATGATTTGAAAAGGCTAAAAAGTCTTTCTAGAAGAGCAGGAACTTATTACAGTTATGTTCTCATTTTATGGGCCTATATATACAAATATAAAACTGGTACATCAATATTTATTTAAATTTAGGTGATTCAAATATGTTCTAATATCTGTGTAGAAACCAAAAAGGAATTTGGCAACAATCTTTTATTCTATTTAGAATTTATCAGACAGACTTAGGAAGAAGGTATTTTAGAACTAATGCAAGTCTGATTTATCCCCTATACTCAGAGAAGCAAAGATTGCTTCTTCTGAAAAATGATTGAATTCAAACAATTACTGAACTCAAGCCCAGGCAGCTTTCTGGACCATTATCCTTGGAAAAATATGATACTTTAAAGGTTATCTCTCCATAAACATGATTCTACAGACACTACAGATGGACAGACAGATACCAATACAAGTAAAATTCATTTTCTCAAATGTAGATAGTTCAGATAAAAATAAAGATGTGTGTACATTTTCAATTAAGAAGATTGAAAACTTCTAAGTCTTTATGAAAAGGAATATATGTGTGTATATTATACATACATGCACACATGTAGTTTTTGATAGTCTTATGAAATTAAATAGCAAATGTCTGAATATTTATAAAGCAAGTAAATTTATATCTACTAATGAACTGCATTTTCAAGGAGGACTTTTATCTGCACATTCCCTCCCTCATTCCTATCATCCCTCCCTTCTTTCTTTCTCTCTTTATTTTTTGCTTCCTTATTTGAGACTTCCCAAAAAATATGTTTCAGTTGGTTTCTTTTTACTACTTCCTCACTTAGTTCAATAGAGAAGGAAGCACTGTCTTTATCAGCTGTTCATAAAGTTAGACTGCAAAAAAATATGTTGATAGCATAGTTTAGCCAACTTCTTAAGTGACAGAGGACTAAGATATTATAGGATATTTTGCTGGTTATTGACTAGGTCATCAAGCTTGAGCATACATCAGCTCAGTGTCACATGTTAGTTGTGAGACATGATGATAACAACAACAGTGATGAGCGCTTCCTGATCTTATTCTATGTCAGGTGTTGTGTTAACTTCCTAGTGTTGCTGTGACAAAATACCACAAGTTGTGTGGCTGAAATTCCCTAATGGTTCTGGAGGCTGGGCTTCTGAAATTAAGTTGTCAGCAGGGTTGATTCCTTTTGGATACTCACTCTGTTGGTTTCTTCTGTTCTATGCTTCTCTCCTAACTTCTGGTGGTCGTTGGCAACCTTGGTTTGCAGCTCCATCACTCTACTGTCTTGCACTGTCTGTCTTGCACTGTCTGTCTTCCTACTATGATCTTTCTTGTCTGTCTTCCTACTATGACTCTTTCTGTGTCTGTTCTCAAATTGGATTAGGTCCCACCCTACTCCTAAGTGCCCACATATTAACTTAACTGATGACATGTTCAAAGACCCTACTACCAAATAAGGTCATACTCACAGGTTCAGAGGTTAGGACTTCAATACATCTTTCTGAGGGATAAAATTCAATCCATAATTGATACTGTGCCATCTCTGACTTCAATGGAGTTCCTGTACACTTGTGTGTTGGGGGAGGAGCACAAAGAGTTAAGTGCATGACCAATAAGCAAAAGGTCAGCTATTTCAATCCACCTAGAAGCACCTGGTGATTTGTTTCTGAAAGGTCACAGCCTTGAAAACCCTATCTATGGAGCACAATCGTACTTTGACACACATAGAATCATCATGAGTTGGAATCAACTCAAGGGCAGCTGGTTTGGTTTTGGTTATACAGTGAGCTCTTGAGGTGGCATTAAGAGGGCAGGAGACAATAAGGACAACTATCACTTAATTTCTTCAGTACCTACTTTGGCCAAGGTTCTTGGGTGGTGCAAATAGTGTGCACTTGACTACTGAACTAAGGTTTAGTGGTTTGAACCCCCCACCCCCACCCTCGGCAGCAGGACCAGAGAAGACAGGTCTGGCAATCTGTTTCTTTGAAGATTACGGCCAAGAAAAACCCCATAACACATAGGGTTGCCATGAATTGGAATTGACTCGAGGGTAATGGGTTTGTTTTTTTAACTGTGTGCCAAGTTTTCTATATTAAATAAAATAATAAAAAATAGCACATAGTTTTTAAACTATTTTGAACCCCTGGCATTTTGTATAATTTCTCTTGTTTGCACATAAGTAGTTGCTTTGTTTTCCTGCAGATTTCATTTTTACCCTCACACGGTTGAGCTTTGCTACCCGGCTTCTTCACTTCAAATCAGAGAAGAGTTGCCCGTGGTTGTGGTGGGACCTCTAACACTGAATGTGGTGATGCTTCTTTTGGTTCTGATCAGATGGGGCTGTCAGCTGCTGTTTGCCTCCTGCCCTGATGTCTTGTCAAAGTTAATCATTGCCATGGGACTCTGGACAGTTCTAGACCCATTGGCAGTGTTCATAGTGGATGTGATCCTGGGGGTAAGTTAAATAAAATAATCTGAGTATGAGTCCTTGACATAGAAATTAGCTTTAGTCTATGAATCGGCAGACAGGGGAAGTTTGAATCATCATGGACAATTTGATATTCCTGTTAAAATGAAGTTATTAAATTTTCCTCCTAATGAAAGTCATGAATATTTAATACAATCAATTTAAGTGCAATTTTAATTATCTTAAATAAACATTAGCAAAATAAACAGGAAATGATGTTGAAGATTAAATCTAATAATTGGTACATTTTAAGTATTACCACAAAGAAGCTTTATTTAGTAACATTTTTTGAAAAGTAAGGATTGCATAGACAAATTTTTCAAGAAGTTAAATTTACTATAGTTCCTTTAATTTGCTAGATTATTTATCTGTGTTATGATTGAACACTTACTCCTCTGTAATAAATATACTCAAGGAGGAGAGAAAAGCTCTTTAAACACTTACAAATAATAAATAAAGTTTTAAAAATCATTCCATAAAATATTTATTTTGTCTTTTGTGATGCTTACAAAGTGATAAAAACAATGCATTCTTACTCCAAAATATATGGTTTAAGATTTCATGATTATGAATAATGTACATGATGTTGTACAAACAATAGTAAAAATGATTCTAATATTTGAAGAACACTGTATTTTTCAAGCAACTTCACACAATTTATCTGATTACATATTTATAGGAACATTGTAAGTTGTTAGGGCAAGTATTATTCTTCTCATTTTACAAATGAAACATACCAGGCACACAGGGGTAAATCAAAAGACAAATAGTCATCGCACACTGCAAGTAGGATTAGAACCCAGATTTCTGAATTCCAAGGCTGGTGTTTTTTCCATTATATCAAAATATCTAGTTCAAAGTTTGAATCAAATTATTATTTTGTGAAATTAAACATTCTTCGCCTGATATATGATGGCATAGTGCCTAAGGCATTTGACTGCTAACCATAAGGTTGGGGGTTTAAACTTACCAGCCACTTCACAGAAGACTGGGAAATCTACTTCTGTAAAGATATACTGACTCAGAAACCCAAGGAGGGTCACTGTGACTCAGAAATAACTCGATGACAGTGAGTTTGGTTTGGTGTTTGGTCTCCTGATGACAATCATTTATTTGTTTCAAAATATTATTAATTAATTTTGGGGCTATAAATCGAAGCAAGGGAGCTCTGGTGGCATAGTGCCTAAGGCATTTGACTGCCAACAAGAAGGCTGGAAGTTCAAACACACCAGCCACTCCTCATAAGGAGGATTGGGCAATTTATTTCCACAGAGATACTGCTAGGGAAACCCAAGGAGGGGTTGTGAGTCAGAAATGACTCAGTGGCAGTGAGTTGAGAATATTTTATGTGAATTTACTGACATATCCAAATTTCTAATTGCTTTGAATTGCAAGATCCAAAATTCCCTGGTGAATGTATTGTAATGTACTGGGTCTCAAACCATACCCTGCATCAGAATCTCTATGAGGTCTTGTTAAAACATGGCTTTCTAGGCCCCACCTACAATTTCTGTTTTGGTAGGTCTAGGGTGAAGTTTATGGATTCACATTTTTAACAAGTTGTTCCAAAGTGATGTTGATGTTGTCATTCTGGTGACCACAGTTTGAGAACCATTAAGGAACAGATCTAGTGAGGAAGCTGAGCAAATCCAAGAAATGTCTCAGTTCCTACATGGGCAGAGTTCAGTAGGACATCTTTTCCTGTCCTGGCTATTTACCACACCTCAACCTATAATTCAACAATTTATGTAAGTTTTTTTTTTTTTTTTTTAAGTTTCCAAAGCTTTAGATCAGCTTATCAAAAGTAAAATTAAAGAAACTGCCAAATAATGGATTAATCCAAACTAGAGAACACTTTAACTTAGAGTTATCAAAGTTTGAAACAATTTCAAGAGGCAAAGACAAATGAAAATCCCAATTCTAACTTTTTTTTTTTTTTCCTCTAAAGTGGACTGGGTTCTGTAGAGGAGCAAAACCAGTGAAATAATACATATAAATTGTTAGGTGCCATCAAGTTGGTTCTGACTCATAGTGACCCTATGTACAACAGAACAAAACTCTCAGGTCTGCATCATCCTCACAATTGTTGTTATACTTCAGCCCATTTTTGCAGCCACTGAGTCAATCCATCTCATTAAAGTCTTCTTTTTTTTCTGATCCTCTCTTTTACCAAGCATAATGAGCTCCAGGCCCTAGTCCCTTCTGATAACATATCCAAAGAATAGGAGACGAGATATCACCATCCTTGCTACTAACAAGCGTTCTGGCTGTATTTTTTCCAAGACAGATTCATTCATTCTTCTGGTTGTCCATGGTATATTCAATATTCTTCCCAAACACCATAATTCAAAAGCATCAATACTTTTTCAGTCTTCCTTGTTCGTATCTTTATGCTTTCACATGCATATGAGGTGATTGAAAATACCAAGGGATGGCTCAGACTCACCTTAGTCCTGAAAGTGACATCTTTGATTTTAAAAACTTCGGAGGTCTTTTGAAGCAGATTTGCCCAATGCAATATGTTGTTTCATTTCATTTATTATTATTTTTAAAAATTTTATTGTGATTTGGGTGAAATTATACAGACCAGATTTGTTTTCTATTCAAAAGTTCACATACATTTTGTTTCATGACATTGATGACAATCCTCACAATGAAACAGCTCTCTTCCCACTTACTCCCTGTGGCTGCCTTTTCTCCTTGTCCTTCTTACCTATACATTCCTGCCTTCTGAGTTTTCTCCTTGTTCAGTTGCAGTCCTCATGATCTCCCATGGTTGATTTTTCTAAGGAGCACATCTCTCTGATGTAATTGTTCATCTCATAGTCCTGTCTATTGTTTGTGTAAGAGTTAAGCCCTGGGAGTGAGCTCACTTCCAGGCCCAAAGGATGACTAGAGGCCATAAGATTGGGAGTTTCACTAGTCTCTCTATAGTACCAGTAAGCTGGTCTTTTCTATTTTGTTTGAGTTTTGTTCCACATTTCCCTCCAACTCTACCCAGGATCTCCAATTTAGATCCCTTTCTTAGTGGCTGGCAGTGGTAGCTAGGCACCATATAGTTCTCCTGGAGTTACTGTTGTGTAGGATGAATTTCATTCATCTTAGCTCTGGATGAAGAGAGACCAGTAGTTGAATCTTAGATGGCTGATCACAAGCTTTTAAGACCCCAGTCACTACTCACCAGAGTAAGATGCAGAACAATGTTTTTATATACTATGATGTGCCGTTTGAGCTTGAAGCCTCCTTGAGCAATCTTAAGCCTGGCTCCAGTGACTGACTCACTCTCTCAAGGTGCTTGGTTGTATGTTAGAAGTTATCTTAACTTTGCCCCCTGTTAACTCTATTATATATATGTGGATACTTTTATAGCACATACAAATACGTATGTATAAATACCATCTGCACATTCAAATATGTGTGTAGAATACATACTAAAACCAAAACAAACTAATTGCTGTCAAGTCAGATTCAATTCATAGTGACCCCTCCTTGGGTTTCTGAGGCGGTATCACTATGGAAGTAGATTGCCCAACCTTCCTTCTGAGGAGTGGCTGGTAGGTTTGAACCACCAGCCTTCTGGTTAGCAGTCAAATGCCTTAGGCACTATGCCACCAGACTCCTTGTAGATTACACAGTCATGGGTGTATTTCTGTTTGCCACCTCATCCCTGATCATCTTGACTGTCTACCTATTTATCCCCCTGTAGATTAATGTTTGTTATTACTGATAATACAGTATTGTGTATGTAATAGTATTTACCTTTGCTGTCTATACCTCTTATACACCTGTCTGTGTCTTCCTTTTCCTTAGTGATATGGTGCTCATCACACACTTTGTTATATTGTCTTTCCCTTTACTCAAATCAATACATGTCTCTTACCTAGCTAGTAGTGTTCCCTCTCTTTCTGTCCTGTCCTTGGTACCCAACAAAGAGCCTTTCCTAGGCAGGGCAAGATGGTGGACTAGGCAGAAGGATTGCACAGACCCTCTTCAACAAAGAAAAGGGAAACCAATTAACACAGACAAAGAAGATAATCTTGGA